TAAAAAGGAACCGCCATTATTAGCGAAGAAACTGTAGAGTAGGCAATAATAAAGGAACCACCACAACTATTGACAAAACCACTGCCGGAAACCACCACAGCCACCAGCCACAACCACATCCAAAAACCCCCCACCAAACGCACCAAACAATGCACCACCCCACAACCTCACCAAATGCGGCAGAAGGATTTTGGCGGCCTCCTCCACGTCCGTCACCGGAAACAACCCCATCTTCAAATCCTTCAAGAGAAGCAACTTATTTGGATGGAAATTAGTTTTTTCTCACCAAGAATAGGCACCTACGTAGAAGCAGACAGCAGCAGTTTCTGAATCTGTCGGCGATGGACTATTGGAGAGATGGAGGCGGAATATCGGAGAGGCGTTGCGCTGGTAATGGTCAAGTAGGAGAGAAACGATTTCGGTCTTGGGAGCTTGTACACCCAGCAGTGCATTACAGTACCATCACCTAGGTCAGTGACAGTCGATCGGAGGACCAAATTGGTAAAGCCGGATTTGAGGCGCCAGTTTATTGATGCAGTTAAGCTGAATCATTTAGACATAGCAGCGTCTGTGGTCTCTGGTGACGGCGCGAGGAAGGCCAAGAGAAAGAGAGAGAGAATGAGGAGGGAGAGACGAGATAGAGGGGGTGGGACTGGGAAGAGACAACTGAGAGATAGGATTGAAAATCAGGTTTAATTAGGGTTTTAATTAACACCTGATTTTTGATAAAATAAACACTACACCTGATTTTTTAATTTGAAAACTTAAATACCTGGTTTTAGGTAATTTTCTCTTAATAATATTTTGATAAAATAAACACTACACCTAATTTTTGAATTTGAAAACTTAAATACCTGATTTTAGGTAATTTTCTCAATTTGAATTATTGAACATTGGACTTGGGTTGAAAATGAAGTTAGTTGGGCTAAAATTAATTTTTGGTCTGGACTAATTTTATCCTTTTTTATTTTCACCATGAATTTGTTTGTGAGCTGGGGATAGGATTGGGCTATAGCCCATCCCGGCCCCTCTTTCCCTCCGCCCCTGCTTTCAATGTGTTAAGGTTTGTAGGCAAAATGGAGCGAAGACGAGCTCCTTCAGATAAATGACTTTCATTTATTTTGTATTTGGTCTATTCAAACAATGAATTGAGACGTCAATGAATGAATTATTTCTACAAAATTAAGTTGTTTCAGAGGTTTTTATTCCTTGAAAATCCATGGAGGAGAAGACTTTTCCAACCAGCCTATTCTTCTTTTAATTTTCATACTAAAAATTGTACATGACGCATACTTTGACCACGCAATGACTCACGTTATTAATAACATGTTTGGCTGAGCTTATAATCATCTTATTTAATTTACATATTACAAACACAATATTTTTAAGATTTTGATTTTGCAACATATTTTAATCTTTGACGTTCTACAGTTCTATTGTTACGGCACAACATTATATAGCTTTCCCGACCATGAAAATCGTTCATTTGGCTCTTAAAAAAAAGATGAGTGACACATTTTTTTAAATTTATTTTTCAATAAAGTTAGTTGCGTTCATTATTATTGTTTCAAAACACTACATTTGTTTATCAAATACTATTAACGGAAAAAAAATAATAATTAAACGTCGTAAGTAATTTAAAGATTAAGATGACCTTGTTATGTATGTCATAGATTCCACGCCAGCACAACAAATTTTCATAAAGAATATAATAAGAAATGTTGCCTATAAAAGATAGTAAAGATGGCAAAAAAATCGTTCAACCCGATATCCGTGGGCCTCACCCCAAATGGGACGGGGATTACCCGCCTAATCGGGTTACGTGGCGGGATGGGCGTGAGGGTCATTGCCCTGAAGCGGGTACATGACAGGTACGAAAAATATAGTTCCCGCCTTGACAAGTTCAAAGTTAAATTAAAATTTAAGTTTTTTATCAAACAAAAATAATATATTTATCATCATTTTTAAAGAGAATATAAGTTGTTTTTAACCAATTGAAAAAAAAAGTTATTAATTAAAGATATAAAAAAATAAAAGCAAAAAATAAATAAATTGAACGATAAATAGGGCATGGAACCTGCCCCTTCCGATCCCGCCCCGAGACCGTCCCAACCCGCTTTAAAAAGGTATATGGGGCAAAATGACAAAAATATCCGACGGGATAAAGGTGGGAATGACCGACCCATCCCATACTCACCATATTGTCATCCCTGAAATATAGGTACAATCATGTGTCTAATTAAAACTTGAATGTTGCAATGATAATTCGTGTAGGTGTTTTTGTAATGTTAATATGGATATCTTTTATCTCATAGTTGCATGTTTGGACTAACCCTTCAAGGAAAGTTTCACAATAACGTAGAATCTCCTTATTGTTGAAATTTTCCAATCATGCTCTCACACCACCACAAGACCACCAGAGACATATCCCTCTCATGTTCCCGCCGTTGAAGCTCCATGTCCAATCCCAAAATATACAGCAACTCCTTTTCCAATGTCTTCTTCCTCAGTTACTCTAATGATTTCTCAGGTCGGATCTCCATTAGAAGGCCCTACAAGGGACTCACAGAACAGTATTTCAAATAATGTCATTGGTACTTTCGAGACTTTGTCATTTTGATGAAAATGCTGCATTTGTTACATTTGGGCAAAAACCAAATCTAAAATCAGTTCTGTTAGGCATGCGTGCATGTGTTCTTGTTTCTATGGTGGTTAAGAGAGATGGTTGTGGTGTTGGTGGCGGTGACGATGTCAAATTTGATTGTTTGTGGAGGTGTGCATATTTGGAGAGTTTCTTGAATCTGAGATAGGTAGCATTGATGGCGGATTTGCTTGACGACATTCAATGATGCTGGGGATCTCTCACCATCACAACGACATCTACATATTTAACAAAAGGAACAGATTTTGGAGGTGGAGTTTGGCAGCAGAGTTTCGAGCAAAAGGCACGACCTAGCGGCTATGACTACCATATACGATTTAAAGTGAGAGTGGGTACAGATTTTGTGCACCGATCCACCAATGGGTGTAAGAGGAGAAGGTGGTGGATGGTTTTTTGTGAACGGTGGCCAAAGGTGGTGGTTGTCTGACGGATTGTGCAGTAGAAGGTGGGGTCGGGTAAACCAAAGGATATCTCAAAGGGTACAAATAGCAAAATTCTATATTTGGTTGGTGGGTGGGGATGAGGAGCAACTAATGTTTTTTTTAAAAAATATCTTTGTACTTGATTATTGAAAAATTCCCCTTCTATCATGGGCAGAGCTAGTTGCCTATTAAGCCCAATTAATCAAGACTTAGGATTATGATGAATGCTTTCCACAGTAGAGGCCTTTTTAAGCATTTTGGACCCCATGACTCGTGTCATTTTGTTGTCTACTTTAATCGCTAAATAATTAATCAACCGAGTCAATCAAAATATATGCAGTTGGTATGAGACTCATGTACACTTAACGTTGCATTGTAACCGTTAAAAAATGTTTAAAAATTTGAGAATAAGGGTTCAAGAAGGGGCATCATAATAAAACATAGTTAAGTAATTCAACATTTTTCAAGAAGCTCGACAAATTCCTAATATCAAGACTTTAATTGATAGAGGTATGAAAATAACTGGTTACTCAGAGCTTCAAATTTCAAATTTTCTGCACTTGGTCAAAACAAGTGTTCCAATACCAAACCAAGAAAATTCTAACCTCATAAAATAAAACATGATACATTGGATTCATATGAATCAGCCTTTTCAATATTGGACTGCTAAAAACAAAATAATACTAATTTACCAGGACACATGATTTGGCGCAGTGGGCCTGAGCATTTGCATCGCTTTCTTAATAATATAAAAGTACATACATTTATCAAACAAGATTTTTATACAATCATCTGAAGGAAAAAAAAGAAAAAAAACAGTATTTTCCCAATAATTTATGGCTTTTGTTTCAATCGAAAATTCCTTCTTCACAAAGAACACATTAAAAAAGGATTAAACTGAAACTAATAGAGTTTTACTAATTATGCTATCCTCGTCCTAGAATTAATGATAAATTAATTTCTCATCTTGCACTGACTGGTTCTTCTGTAATTGTATCCAACAATGGCTTTCTTGATCTGCATACCGAGTGCCTATACTTGTACTCTGCTGTAGGGAACCCTTCTACAACTTCTAAATTAAATCCCGACCGTCCCGTCTCATTCTCACTTGGGTTATCGCCCGATACTGCGGGCTGCGCCAACACTTCCGGCGATATTCTGATGATGTTGCCACCGGCTATCCGCTTAGGCGCGGTGTTCGCCGCCATCAGAAACACCGATATGTCAGCCGCAGTGACTACTGAATTTACCTTTTTCATTGGAAACATAAGGTACAAATTGCCAAACTCCAGGTCTTCATCTGCAGATAGAGGTGAAAATCTTCTGCCCATGGTTAAAGACTTGGAATTTACTAAGAAGAAGTTTGGTGACTCTAGCATAAGCTCAGCAGCCTTCACTGGCTCGCGAAACTGCCGGATTTCACCCCCTGGAAGCATAACCCGAGCTGCCTTGGCACTCTTCACGGTAGTAATCATAAAACTGCATGAAAAATAATTTCCCATGTTGAGATAAGATGAAATTTTGCTTATGGGTTTTTGAAATGGATTCGGAGTTTGAAGAGTTGTGGCCTTAGTTAGGTATATATATTAAATTGAACTGAATTGGACTCGACCAGAAAATGACAAGAAGCATAGGCTTTCCGTGTGTGGTTACATTTATTATTGGTTTAGTGAAATGGTTTCAGATTCACACGTTGATGTCGAATAGGCTTTGTGGAATGTCATCTACGCGTTAGGTAAAAAGTGGTGGAAGTTGCTGATTTCTTTGTCAAGTGCAGCTTCCTCGATAATGCGTCTTAGAATTGTCGACACTAAAAATTGGTTTAAAGCCAATTTTGAATAATTCTTATAGGACGTGGCACGTAGTGTAAACACAAAGTGTGAACAAATATGTTTCAATGTAATCAATCTCAACTCGAGCTTGTTCGTTTGTTATTGTACCGGTGTTCATAGGAAGTTAAGCAAATTAAAGAAAGTCGTTCAAACGCTTAAATTCAAAACGAGAGTGAGAATTAAGATGGAAAAAGATTTTGATAAGAAAAATTTATCGTTTTTTATAGTGAAAAAACTATTGAAAGTCTAATTGAAGACAATCGAGATTCTTGACGCATGTTTGAGCCTCATTTTCTGAATAATATATTTTGTAAAAAATGAGTTTTTTGGAGAACGTGAAATTAAAAAGCAAGGATAATTAATTTTAAATTTAAGTATAAAATTATTTTATTTAAAGAACGTGTAATTGAAAATATATTTGAGAATAAAATGGGTTTTAAAGAATTGAACTCAAATAGTTATCTTATGTGAGCTAACTATTAAAGTTCAACATTGACTGATAATATTTACACGATCCACTTAATAAGATGAGGGCAATCCTACCCTAACAAGCTGGTTTTGTTGTTGAGTTAGTTCCAATTTCCTTTCTAATGTGGTATCAGAGCAGGTCCAACTGACAATGTTGGGTGCAACCAATATCGATTTATTCGCAGTTGTTTGACATGGTCTAAACTATGCGTGAGGGGGCGGCGTATTAGAGTCCCACATTGGCTGGTGATATTTACACGACCCACTTAATAAGGTGAGTGCAATCCTCTCCTAACAAACCGACTTTGTTAGATTGAGTTAGACCAAATATTCTTTCTAATACTAAACGTCTCGTGCCATTTATGATTGGGGTGTTTTCACGAATGTCCACAAGTAAGGATGTGAGTTGAAAAGTGTCCAGTTTTCAAATTTAATACTAAACTGTCTATTATGCCCTTAATGAAAAAAAAATGACATTTGAATCTTTACGTATTCTCGAATTTAAAATATCATTCTCGACATTTGAATCCCGTTTTATATTTCAATAGTACACACATCAAATCATAATATTAAATGTTCTCGACATTTCAAAACGTCATTCTCAACATATCAAATGTTTAGAAGGACATTGCATTCCAAACATGACATTTCTC